TGAAAACAGATGCGTACCTTGAAATACCCTTAATTTTTAAATGGGTGGTTCTGAGAACAAGTATGACACACAACGAAGCACAAACAATTTCGGCTAATTTTGTTGTTTGTGCTGTTTATGTGCTGGTCAATTCACGACGCCGATTCGAAGATGTTAAGAATATAATAATTCATCAATATATGATCAAGTTGGCTTCTCAGCCAAAAGTGAGTGAAACACACAGTTGAGCACCTTGCTAAGACTACATGGTCCTTATCGTCAACGTCATCTGCTATGCGGTTAATCACTCTGGCAATAACCTGAACGGTAGAATGTTGTCAAAAACCTACTATTCTACCCGTACTTTAACTTATGATCATGTAATGTAATGCGTATTTCTGCATGGTAGCATGGTACATGGGGTATTTTTTAAATGGAACTACTAGTTTTCATTGCATATTATTAAAGAGACCTCTTTTTCGGATATAGCAGCATAAAAAACTTATTATATTGCATAATCAAATTTAAAAGAAAAATTCGAATGAAGGAAGATAGTTGTGTTAATTAATTTTATAATTTTACTAGTTTGACCATGATTCTTATGTTGCCATTTTAAAAAAAGGTTCATTCTTTAATAGTACCACACAAAAAATAGTGTTTTCTATTCAAAAAGTGACCCTCTTAGTTCTGTAAACGCACGCCACTGTAAAGAATTTTTAACCATAAATATTTACTTACTTACAAATTTTTTGTGATTTTTGCGCTGTGGCTTTAATAAAGTAATGTGCCACTATATTAATTAATAATTTACCACTTTACTCATTACAAACAATTTTACTCCTTAGCAACCAGATCCTACGCAAATGACAGTTTTAAGAAACCATTCCATCGGTTTATTTTGGTAAAAAATCGGCGAAAAGTACTGGTCACTCAATGACCTACCTATTGGTCTCGTTTAATTTACAAGAAATAGTACACACATACACCCGAGTAAGTAAGCACTCCAGTACGATATTGGATAACGTATGTACTAATGCATCCATTACATTAGAAAGTAATGTTCAGGACACTTACCTCTCTGATCACCGACTTATAAGAATTTCATGTATCTTACAACAGTCTTCGCCCTCAAGAGCCAACATCATCTCAAAAAGATTCTTTTCGAAAAGTAACATGGAACGTTTTTTTTTATATTTGGAAAATGAAACGTGGAACGATAGCTACTCCACGGATGACATAAATGAAAAGTTCTCAGTTTTCCTTTCCACATTTCAATTTTACGTCAATATATGTTTTCCTCTAAAAAATTATCGACATAACTCCGAAACTAAACCCTGTGCACCAGTACAGAAGCAACTCGTGGCTCTAGTACTAAGCTCAATGACATGTATGTCTTACAAAGAAAATACCCCGAACTAAGAGATAAATACATATCTATGAAGGAAGCACACCAAAACTTGATAAACAATGCTAAAAGAAATCATTACAGCTCAATCATACAGAACGCGCAAAACAAGAGCAAAGAAACCTGGAAGGTTTTGAACTCGATTAGTAACAAAAACAACCAAATTCCAAAAAACCTGGAACTAAAGGATGACCAAGGATCTGTGGTTACATCACCTGCAAAGATTGCCAATTTGTTCAATAAACACTTTCATAACATACCGTTCAAGCTTCGGGAATCTATTCCACACGCAGATTTACCTACAAACCATCTTAAGATAAATCCTAATTCCATCTATTTATTGCCATTTACGGAAGAAGAGGTTCTAAACCTATTCAAGAAGCTGAATAGCAATAGCGCACCTGGACTTGATGATATATCCCCTAACTTATTAAAACATGTGAAACTCCTAATAATCACCGAACTTACGTATTTAATTAACTGTTCTTTACGCACTGGAACATTTCCAAATTGCTTCAAGGCTGCAGTGGTAACTCCTATTTTCAAAAAAGGAGATGCTCTCAACACGTCGAATTACCGACCGATTACACTGACGTCCTGCGTAGGAAAAGTGCTAGAATATGCGATGAAAGAGAGGATAACTTCATTTCTCTCAAAGTATGATATAATATCAAAGAGGCAACACGGTTTTCGTGAGAAGCAGTCGACCACCACCGCTACTACTGAAATATATGAGAGTATTCTTCTCACTCTTGAAAGAAGACTTCGAATGGTAGGAGTTTTCTGTGACCTAAGCAAAGCCTTCGATTGTGTCGACCACAATATTCTAATAGGTACAGAAATTGGAGTGGATGGGAATAAGAGGTGTCGCCCTTAAATGGTTCACATCATATTTGTCGAAGAGAACCCAGGTAGTCCGTATTTCAACTTGGTCAAATAAATTCAAGCAGCAAGTGCGATCAGAAAGCTTACCAATTGCAATTGGTGTTCCACAAGGGGCAGTTTTATCCCCTACTTTATTTAACGTTTATATAAACGATTTGGTAACTTATTTATCTAAGTACGCTGAAGTAGCCATGTATGCAGATGACATCACCCTAATGGTAGCACCCGTAACTGCATAGAAAGGGACACCGATTTAGCTGTAAATCACGTCTACAAATGGCTTATTGCTAATAAGTTGTTCCTAAATAAAGATAAAACAAGATACACACTGTTTAGCATGTCTTCGGTTCAAAACAAAAATGCGGAAGTTGGAATCTCCATATCAAACTGTCCCATTCAAAATACGGAATCCTTGCAAATACTTGGAATGCTGTTCACCGAAAATTTAAAGTGGAAGACGCACATCTTGTCGCTTAACTCCAAACTTTCAAAAGCAATATTCAAAATTAGACAACTTAGAACTTTTTTAAATCCAGAAACCTTAATGTGTCTTTACTATGCTGAAATTGAATCCAGACTAAGATATGGCATCATCATCTGGGGTAGCAGTGGACAGATTCAAAGCACCCTGCTTCTACAAAAACGCGCCATCCGATCCATCGCCAGAGTTTCACTGACAACTACCTGTAGACCGCTATTCATTCAAATGAATATATTAACCGTCATATCTTTATATATTCTTGAAGCCGCAAGTTATGTACACAAGTTTAAATTTAAGTTGATCGACATATACAACACAGTACACTCACACAACACAAGGTCCAATCACATCATTAAACGTCACAGCCAACAGTCCTCTCTGCATGCCTATCAAAATATACAATCATCTTCCGAATACACAGAAACACCTACCCTATCATCTCTTTAAAAAAGCATTAAGAAAATATCTCGTTGATAAACCATACTATAATATACACGAATTTTTCATAGAGAATCTGAGTTGAGTTTATATTTAATGTCTAGAAGTTATATTTGTGTTACTGTTTAAGACATGATGTATTTTTTTTTAAGACGAATGTGTGTAATTTATTAAAATTACTTTTACACAATAAACACTATTATTATTATTATTATTAAATGTTAAATGTACCATTTGAAGCAGATATGGATGTTTTGTTCGTTCCTGTTTTGGCACTGGAGGTTGTAGGGAATGTTGGAAAGGGTGCTGGTCTTCAGTAACTTGTTGCGTCAGATTACAAAAACTCTTTTTCGTGCTTGAATTTTGTTTCGAATTTTCTTCTATGTATCCATCTGATCAAGACCAGCTCCCAAGTCTTCCAATTCGAAATACGTCCACCTACTATACATAAAATGTCCGTGTATAACTGCTGGCTTCGGCTTCAGCGGATTTATCTGGTAGCCCATAAAAAGTGTTGATACCAAAATGCTCCGTGCATTTGCCATTTCGATAGCAAATAAAAAATCTTCGATGGTTAATGTTTTTTTACAGCAACTTACGGTATTACGTTACTATTTGGTTATCGTGATAGATAGATAGATTACGTTTCCTACTGAATATTTTAATATCTCGTGAATTCTTTCGCATCTAAACAGTGTACTGAACCAACGTTTACAGAATAATCATTACATTTGGTAAGAAGTCATACTAGGGTTAGCTACGGATTGCTTAATACAACCTCTTCGCAGTTGTTTTTTTGAATTCGTTAAGGGAACTAGAATGTTTTTTAGTTGGACTTGGAAAAAAATAAGACTAACTTAATATTAAAAGCATGTAGGTAAATGAGCATATGCATGATTAAAGCGCATTTCTTCCAAAAGCTTATGAACAAAGGGAACTGAAACCCTCGCCTAGAAAAACTTAAAAATGAACGGGTGGGGATATCACTAAAAATCTGTATGACTTTCCATCCGTAAATAGAACAGGGCAGGAGCAAGTAGGTACTTAATTGCTATGATTTTTGTTGGTTTAGTTTAGGTGTCTAACAAAACAAAACGAAACAAAACCGAAGGATTTATGGTTCGGCGCCGTACATCAGGAAATGGCATAAACAGGTACTTTCAATTTAATGCAGATACATTTTAGGTAGTTTTCATTTTATAGCAGGATTTACTTTTGGCACGGCGTTCGAAAAGTGCCAAACTAACACTTTCAGTACAATGGTGTGTGGCTTTCCGTAATTGCAGGCATAGAAAACACCTTGCCGGTAATCGAACACAGTTGATGATTTATTGATACACTACCTATAAAGAACCAGTTTATTTATACAAAAAAGTCGCCGCGGGCCTTTTCCCACATCACAACTAAGATAGATTTCCGTGCTACCTATAATTTTAAGTGAATTAAACGACATTCGAGAATGACTAGGCGAAACGTAAAGTTTACATAAAAATTCACCACCTACACATAATTATGATGAAATAAGCCGCGTTTCTTTCGTAATATTCATAGGGTACATAGAACTGGTGGACATTAAAGAATTCATCGAATGTTGATAAACTTTAGAAAATCCCAACTTCCCGACTGCGATTAATTCATCAGTCGGTTTACTACGAGGTGGGGGTAAATTTACCAAATAAAAAATACACAAGTAAATAAACACAGACGTCACAAACTGTATTCCTGGTATCAAACCAAATGGGATTTTCTTTAGTGGGGGTTTTGAATTGCACAAAACAAGCCCCCTCTTCCAGTACTTAATTTTGCGTACAATATATTTATCCTTGTCAAAATCAATTTGGAGAGTTCATACTTGCACATTACTTTATAAATGCTCAACGGCCATTAATCGTGTTTAGTTTCATAGACGAATTTTCTAAGGTGACATTTTTGAAAAAAATTTGTGCGACAGTGATTATATTACAACAGTGAGTACTTATTTTAGAGTACGCAGTATTTGAAATCCATGTCTAGGTCGTTACCAGAAATCTATGATTGTTCTTTACATTCAAATAGCATAATTTGGTGTTACAACTATCATTGACCTAGTCTGTTTGTTATTACTCAAGTTTAGGAGAAATCTAACTTTGTAAATCATTGTTTCGTACTGGTAGTTCAGTTGCGTGCGGTAATTAAGTTGCCCTTTTCTTTGGTTGTAAATGCTAAAAGTAAAAGCAGTACGATATCTTACGAAAATGAAATGACCTTAAGTGCCTCTTTTGTTATTTCTTCTTTTCAATTGTATAGGATTGTCGCATTAAGTAGGAAGTCGCTTTATTTATCGCGCGTAGTGGTATGATCTATTAATAAACGGTCCAATTACCCGCGCTGTTTACTTTTTGTACTACTTTCTTCCGGCTTTTTTACTCGTTTAAAATCATGCACCTGATGTGAACCACCCGAAGGTCATTGTAATGATTTCCTTATAGTTTTTTTCTTCTTTTTCTTTACCATCTCCCTAATATAATTGTATTGTGCATGACTGGTGTAATGAGGAAATTGAAGGAACAGGTGATTCCAGTTTAAAAAACCGTGTATTTCCCGAATGGCCAGTTTTTTTGAATCACTTTAATTGTAACCTTCATAAACCACACTCGATTTTGCGGTTAATTTCGAATTCTGGAATTGGGAAAGTGGTTTCCTTTCGAACGTGACGGTGTAATTTTCTTTTGCCCGCAAAAGACGGGGGCGGTATTGAATGCTCAATTTTAGGATTTAAGATTTTATCGAATCATAGAAGCAAAACGTGACTTACTGAAAGTAAAACGTAATGCTATTCAAAATATAATTAAAATGCTCCATAACCCATTATTATGGATAATAACTAACACTACTCCTTGTCAGAGTTTTATCATTATAATATTCCTTAGTTCATAAAAAAGCCAATTAGCAAAAAATAATAACTGCTCTATTGCAAAATTATCGTCAGTATTGACATTTCAAATGAACATAAATTAAGAACCTTTATATAAAAGCCACAGTTAAGCTGCAGCTGTCAATTATAATTTATACTATGAAAAATTGTCACTGCTTGCATCTCAAAATGTGAAATGTTATCGGTAGTTTGACATACATTTGCATATTACCGCTACTGTGATTATAATCATTCATGCCACGAGGTTCAATTAAATCGATAATTTCACAATTTCCTTCATTGCCAATTACTTACAGGTATGAGAAATGCCCATCTATCTAATCGTTAAACGATTGGTTCACGATCTTCCACTCAACTTCTTAAACAGCTTTGTCGTTTAATCCTAACAATTTGGTCTTTTTTGATTCCGTAGATTTCAAGCAGGAATTTTTTTTATCCACCAAGGCCGTTTTTACCAATTTCTGTTAAGTTTAACTGTTCCATAGCGATGATTGTGAATGCATGGAAATTAATTGTTAGTTAAATTTAGAAGAAGTCGCTCAAAGGACCTTAGACGACTAATCTCTTTCGACTTTTGGTGCCTATATGATCGGACAAAGTAATTTCCTTTTAGCATCCGAAGTAGGAATAATCCAGTTTTTGCGGTAATTTTTAGGGCAAGCCACATTGCTGCAGGCCGGGGATCGCAAAAATGTTTGTTTGTGTTAATTTTAATATTGTGAAATATACTTCTGCGTCGCCTGTTAAAACAATATAATTAATTTTTCTTTAAACAGTTTGCAATATCCAAAATGGTATTCAAGGATGTTTTAGAATTCATAAAAGGTTCTTCGTAGGGTCGTTGCAGATTTTTACGGAATGTTCGTAAAATATTGTGCTTCCCAAATTTTTTTCATAAAGTGATTCAAGAGATTCTTGGGAGATGGTTCATCGGTTCTTCACAATTTTAGAGGTTGCGAATTATACTTTAATAATAATGCAGCTAGGTTGTTCTGATAGGTTAAGCGCTCGCCGACGACCAGATTCAAATTCGGGTTAGGGCATGGACATTTTCTAACGGAATCTTAAATTGAGCTAGTAGATCAGATTCGGCCTCTCTTCCTGTTACTCAATGAAGACTCATCAGAAATCTCATTGAATCAGTGAAGAAAAATCTCTAGATATGCCCTGCAAAATTGCACAGGAATTGCTAAAAAAAGTCCCAGAAATCGCTTCAAATTTCTGAAGGAGATCTATGAATCTTGACAAGATTTGTAATTTTGTAGAGAATCTTCTAGAGCCTCTACAGTATTTGTGAGGAATGTACCTATTAGAGATGTCTGAAGATTTCCGAGGTCAATACTGCAGAAACACAAACTGGACGCACGTTGAAGGACTATACTCAATATACTTATACCCAATTGCGCCTTCATAAACAGAAGAAAATTAGCCAACCGAAAATTACGCGTTCCTATGAGTAGATAGTTCGTGGCGAAAACCTTCATTATACTTTTTTAAGATAATTCGCTTTGTATAATGTAATCAGTAGCCGAATAAATTAATTAACTGACGTTTTATGTTATGTATAATTTATTATTAATAATTATAGTAATAGCTGCTGCTGAGTGGCTGATTAATTCAATAAATGTAAAACGCGATCAATTTCAGGACGATGGGTTCGGTACCACAACTATCAATTATCAAGGGGCGTACTCGCCCAACAAAAGCATCCCAACTACACACACTCTTTGAACAAGTAGTCAAGACAGATTCCGGAAAAAATACAGCATTAATATACGAAGGTAAGGGTTTAATTACATGGGACCGTATTAATTGCTAATTCCAGAAAATGGACTGATCCGAAAATTAACGTATGAGGAACTAGATACCTTAACCAACAGTTTGGCCAGGGTGATTAGTGATAATATTACGCGTAATAAAATTCCACCAAATCTAGATGGAGATTACATTGTTGCCGTATCCATGACCCCCTCCGATTATCTTGTGGTGACGCTTTTGGCCATTTTGAAAGCTGGAGCGGCTTATTTACCACTCGACCCTGCATTTCCAAAGGGGCGCGTTGAGCATATATTGCGCGAAGCTAAACCGGCGATGGTCATATTCGACACAGATTGTGACTACTTTCTCAACACGTTTAAATTGTCCTTGGAGGGTTTTTTGGATGGTGCGAAACAGTACCCATCACTCCCATTAGAAGAAAACGAGAGACAGAGACACCTGAAAACAGATCTAGCTATTGTGTTGTACACATCTGGCAGCACGGGAGTACCAAAGGGTACATTGCGCTTAAACGCAGAGTCAAAAAATAAGCGTTAACTTGCAGGTGTTAGGCTTCACAACGCTATGATACTGAACCGGCTCCAATGGCAATTTAAAACCTTCCCTTATAGCGACACCGAAAGCACATGCGTCTTCAAAACGGCTCTAACTTTCGTGGACAGTGTGTCGGAGATTTGGGGACCATTAATTAACGGATTGAGCTTATTAGTCATCCCAAAACTAGTAACACAGAACCCTGAACTATTGGTTTCTCTTTTAGAGAAGTACAAGATAGAACGGTTAGTCCTGGTTCCGTCGCTTCTCCGGTCCCTTCTGATGTATTTCAACTTACACGTAAGTTACATCTTTTTCGAATCCGTTCAGCTAATCGCGTTTTTTGCAGAGCGAGAAACAATTCCTGAAGCATTTGAAAACGTGGATCTGCTCCGGTGAAACCTTGGTCGCATCCTTGGTTCAACAATTCTACCAGTATTTCGCAATTGACCAACACAAACTGTGCAACTTTTACGGTAGCACCGAAATAATGGGCGATGTTACGTTCCACGTTATTAACGAGCAAGTAAATTACCAAGAGAAAATACCGATCGGCTTGCCTATTGACAACACAATCGTCTATCTTCTAGATTCAGACTTTCGGCCCGTAAAAGTGGGGGAGGTCGGCGAGTTGTTTGTAGCCGGAGCGAACTTAGCGGCTGGATATGTTAACGGGAGGGATCCTGATAAATTCATCGAGAATCCCTTGGCAGTCGATCCCGCTTACATGAAATTGTACAGAACGGGAGACTTTGCGCGGATTGAAAAGGGCACTGTTTTGTACGAGGGTCGAACGGATTCGCAAGTGAAAATCCGAGGACATCGGGTGGACCTTGCCGAAATAGAGAAGTCGGTTAATGCCATTGATGGTATTGAGAAAGGCGTGGTTTTGTGTTACAATCCCGGAGAAATAAATCAGGCTCTGCTATCTTTTGTAACCAGCGAGGCATCTCTGAACGAAAGGCAAATTGAGAAGCTTCTGAAGGAAAAATTGCCACTTTATATGGTGCCGCAAGTTCTTCTTCTGGACGACATTCCACTATTAGTCAATGGCAAAACCGACCGTCAAGCATTACTGAAACTTTACGAAAACTCTGACGGCAATAATAATGGTATGCTAATTACTCGTTCGTTGCAAGTGATGTACCAATATCGTTTCCTTTCCAGACACATTGAATTTTACAGTTGAAATTGATTACACGGGAGTGAGCGAAGGACAACTACCCGCAGCGAAAGTTCTCTTTGAAACCGTTGCATCTGTCTTGCATAAATCGGCCAGAAGTTCGATATCCATCGATGCCAATTTTTACGAGATTGGCGGAAATTCCTTAAATTCAATTTACACAATCACTAGTTTGAATGAGAAGGGTTATCATATTAGTAAGTGTACGCGTGAAAGCTAGCCGCAGCGTGTTAACCCATATTGTAGGTATTGGTGATTTCATTGCCGCGTCAGATTTGGGGGAAATTTTGGATCGTATGTCGCCAGATAAGCAAATCTTTCCAACGATAATAACGCAACCCCCGTGCTACGCAGCCGAGTTTCTTACAGACGATCACAAAAAAGACGCCATAGAGTAAGTGCTGTTCGCAGCGCAAAACAAAACCTAACAAGAACTTTACAGCATGATAACGAGCAGCTTTTACCAAAAGGCCGATTTGGAGCAGTGGATTATAACTGAGATTTCCGAATTGGATTACGCAAACTTAATGGAGGCACTATGGAGGCCATTAGTTGACGCGGGTCTGAGTTTCGTTGTAAAAACGGAGACTGGTAAATCCGTCGGCGTTGCTCTCAACTTTGACGCGAGAGCCGAACCGGACGTAGAGGTGCGCTCAAAACTATCGATCATATTTGAATTTTTGGAGAGCGTGGAGGGTCCAGTTCGCGACACTCAACTACCGCCAGGAAAAGGTACAGTTCTTCATTCGTTTATGATGGCCACAAATTCGACTCTGGCTGCCAAAGAAAACGTGGCCGTCATTCAGTTTATGGAAAAGGAAGTAATTCGAGTCGCGAGAAGCAACAACTTTGCAGGAATCTTTACGACCAACACGAATCCGTTAACGCAACAGCTAGGGACGAACGTTTATTCGTATAAGACATATTTAGAATACCAAGTCAATCAGTATATTGCTACCGATGGTACTAAACCATTCGGATTGGCTCCAGATGCCCAAAGAGTTCTGGTGCAATGGAAAACTGTATAATTTTACCATTTGCACCTAATCATACTCATACCACTATAGGTGATAGTGGTCCCAGTGCTACAATAATAGTATTTATATTAAATCTACATTTTAGTAGGTGCCCCATGACAAAAAATTAGATATATAGGAAGCTCTAATTTCACGTGTGTGGTTGTATTATTTAATTAGATAGCTTTTGTCTTCCATTACTATTTATAGTAACACCCTGGTGCCAATGGATCAAACGGGAATAAAGCGAAAACACCTCTCATAATAGAGGGAAATTGAAGGCCAGGGGTAAATACGTGATAGTGCTATCATAGCTTTAAGCAATGTAGAAAAAAATTGTGATATTATATACAAATTGATTCCTTCTTGTAATATTTTGTGTACAACTTACTTATACAAATATATACCTAACTTTAATAACATTTTTCTCCTAGGAGTAGTTGATCGCAGAGTATTCAATTTCCCTTGAATTTCCGGGAGTTGGTTCATTGTGTGCAGTTTTGTCCGAATAAATTAATTATAAACAGAAAATCCCAGTGGAAAAAGATAATATGGGACCAACCCAACAAAGGCTGTGAGCCAAAAAGCAAAGGGCGCCATCTTCTGAGTTTATCTTCTTAGTGGTTTGGTTGTTTTCTGATCGCTAAAGTACGTAAGAAAGAAAACGAGTTGTTCCATAGTTGGTTATCAACATACATACACGTCCATAACGTAGACACAATGGTATGGGATAATTTAATCTAAGAACTTCATATCCATACTTTTTCAAAATCTTCATTCGGTCATATTGTTTCTTCATTATGATTGAATGGTGAAATCGCCAGTTGCACCGAAAGATGAGGTTCTATACAAAACTCTGTTAGTAATGCGAATTAGGCGTAAGGTATAAGACCAAGACACTTTTGGTGCCGAGTAAAAAAGTCTGCTTCAGAAGCACAGACCTTTGAATAAGATTTTATTCGTGATTTCACTGGCGCGCTGCATTTAACCGAGAAACTATACCTATATCTTTCGTTGTGATGGAAATAGCTGTGACCCCAACCCGCTGGTGAAATGGTAGTGGCACAAACACCATACACCTACACGGTTATGTAAAGAGTGCTGCTGTCCTTTTCCTTTATACTCATTTGCAAATTCGGTGTATTTCCCTAATTGTACCGCTGATCTTGTCCATGACAAGCATGGCCCTTGACCCTTGTTTATCAGAAGAAAATATAAATAGTTTAATTAACACGAGTTTATACATTTACGTTCTTCTTTTTCGAGCTATACCTATATGGGTCTAAAATTTCCAAACCCCAATTCTAATTCATACGGGAATCAATCATTCCCAGTTTCGCTACAATACACCGTTAATTAGGGCACTCTTCGAAAATAGGTTAGCGCTAAACTTCATTATCGCCTTGCTCCCATTTACAAAACAAACTCCTTTTATTAGATAACTGTAACGGCGTACTTTAAAAAAGATAAAGTTAATATGACCTATGACGATACTTGAATATACATCTTCGCGTAGAGTGCAGTCCTTCCCCAGAAAGCGCAATACAATCAAGCGGCAACAATGTTGCAGATTTTAACTTTGTTTCTTCCCTTCTTAGTTTTCCTTCAAGCATTTCCATTGGATAATGGTACGCATAAAGTTATTGTTCAGTATCATATTTGTACGCGTTGGATTTCTTGCAGTTACTGACGAGGAGCGGACGGCAGTTGTACGTAATTAATGTTACAAAGATTAACATTTCACTGACTTTCACCACTTCCAGTTTAGCTATTTAATTCGTTATGGCTATTTGACTAGATTAGAAAGCAGAAGCGAGATCAAATTTACAGAAGCAATTAAGAGGTTCCAGAGCTTCTTTGAACTTCCCGTAACAGGAGTCATTTCTAATGATGAGCTAGAGGTACCTATATGGTTTGGATTTAAACTGTACGTGTCCTTTTCAGATAATGACCAAGCAGCGATGTGGCATTCCTGACTATCTGACCAGTCGGTTTGGTGTCAGCCAAGCTTGGACGAAAAAGAACCTAACCTACCAGTGGGTATCGCTTTCCATTTTCGGCGTATTGATATCGCTTTTGTAGTATTGGAGCAATTACCCCCAAATTAACTGAAGAACAAGTAGGCGACACTATTCGAAATGCGTTGGATATATGGGGTGCTGCAGCTAATTTAACATTTACTAGAGTTTCTAAGAAAGAGGATGCCGACATAGTGATCTTCTTCGCGTCCGGAGCTCACGAAGGAGACACGTAAAATAAATCATTTACTAACAGTCGTAACTAAAGCAAATGATGTGTATACTTTAGGATTAGTTTTGATGGCCGCGGAAGTACGTTAGGTCACGCATTTTACCCTCCAAACGGGGATCTCCATTTTGACATGGATGAAAACTGGATACTTGGAAAAGGCAGAGGTACAATAATTTTAAAAATATCGAAAAAAGTAATCTGAAACGATGTTACGATAGGAATGACTGACTTGTTTAGTGTGGCTCTGCATGAGCTTGGTCATTCCATGGGACTTGCGCATTCCACGGTGTTTGATGCTGTCATGTATCCTACCTATCGAATTGGGAAGCAGCTTCACCAAGATGATATTAACGCAATTAATAAACTTTACAAAACTAGCTAGAACTTCGTAACCTCTAGGCTCATTTACAGCCGCAAGCTAGTCAATACTCTTAATATGGTTATTTTTTTGACGGAAAATAATTTAATTTTTGCCTCTGTACCAATCTTTTTATAATAAAAGGATACCTACATGAAAAACTTCCTGTATATTGAAACTTTATAAACCTTCGTGAACCAAATCAAAGTGCTGCACCGGGCATACCAGAGCGACACCAGTACCAAGAACAATCGGCATCCCTCAACGTGTATTGTCTTTCTACAGCGAATGATTAATTTTTTCACTTTCATTGTCGATCCCTAAGCCTAACGTAAATCAATTTCAGGTCATAAGAATAGATGATAATGGGTGTTCGTGTAGCGCTCATTCCATGACTGTATTTTATTGTTATAGCAAATTTTTTCATATCCACATATACATTCGTTCGCTTGCGTAATAGGTAGGTATATCTTGTTTGTGTTCAAACGTTTTTCAATTAAACCATTACCATTCTATTCTTGTAGGTATTATATTAGAGTGATCCCCTAGTCCAGGCAACGAAGGAAAAAATAACGGGAAAAATTGTGTAGAAGCCAATTTTGGCGCAGATGTAGGTATCCTGAATAACATACTACTAGCACTGAGGGGTGGGGTGTGAGCGTTAAATGTCGCTTTTTTAGTTTTTCGTGAATAATTTGAAGACGCTCCTAATTAAAAATTTTATTCCAGTTAAACAGCATAAAATTATTTTTTATTTATTTATTTATTTATTTATTTATTCGTATTCTAACATTTGCAAGTATTTCCATTTACAAATTATGTATGTTTGTAAATGCAAATAGACACGAGAACTATTTTCTTCCACTAGGCGACAATCACACTTACTCCACCCGAAACTCTCAAGTGTTGACCGTCCCAGTCTATTTTACAGCCAAATATGAAAGAAGTCCATTATATTATACAATTGTGTAAAGGCATTTAATGCACTTCCTTCTGATATTAGAAAAATTAAAAATAAAAATAAATTTAAAGTTGCACTACCTAATGGACCAATGTTTTTACAAAGCAACTGACATGTATAGGTATGTGATATAATATTTATATTTTGTTCTTTTGTAATTTTTATGTATATGTGTGTTTTTATACCAAACTTTCATTGTAACCATGTCTATGTCAATAATAATGTAATAATAATGTAATAATGTATATTTTGTCGTAATATCACATTCAGTGCTTGCGACAGGTCAAATTACAGCATAAATAACTAGTATACAATAAAAAGTACAAACAGACAAAGAAATTCATAAAAAACTAACAATATTAAGAATAAAAATACAAGTTAAAATCACAAATTAAAAACAATAGGTGTACTGAGGTATTCCTCTATGGAGTAGAAACAATAAGCTAAAAAATGATTTTTTATAAAATTTTTAACTTAACGAAAGGTAACTGCTTCACAGCCAGTGGTAGTACATTATACAAATCTATGCGGGGGCTATTATTTTTGGATTTGGGAAGTATGGAATCCTCAGATTTTTTGCGTTCCTAGTGTTGTAGCTGTGTGTAGTGTCATTAGTTGGGAATGTAGATAACTTTTTGTGAATTTCTAAAAGAGCAGTATACATGAATATTGATGGCAGCGGCATAATTCGAAGTTGACGGAAATATCGCTGGCAGTGTGCTCTAAACTGGGCACCTACAATAACCCTTATCACTTTCTTCTGCATAATAAAAGCTTTGTTCGATTTGGGAGCATTTCCCCACAAAGTTACTCTATACAGGAGATGAGAATGAAAAAGTGAGAAGTAGCAGGATATAAGGGTTTTAATAGATATTGCCCGTTTTAGAGTTCTCAAAACAAACAAAGACTTGGATAGCTTCGATACAACATAGTCAATGTGATTGATCCACGTCAACCTATCGTGGACACAAATACCTAACACTTTGGCGCAAAGGCCTGACGAAATCTTGTTGCTGGCAGAGAATGTCAGTATATTCGTCTTATCCTTATTAAGCATTAAGTTATTATTTGCAAACCAATTAGTCGCTTCTTGCAACGTGATTTTGGCTTTATTGCATAATGATTTAAAAGTTTTATCTTTAACAATTATGGAAGTATCGTCAGCAAAGGCTATACAAGTACTGGGGTATACAAATTGAAAAAAATCGTTTACATAAATAATAAAAAATAGAGGCCCTAAAATAGAGCCTTGTGGAACACCATGTTTCGTAGGAAGTAGTCTTGAATACTCTCCATTAACAACAACGCATTGCTTACGATTGTAGAGATAAGCCGATAACGTTGATCAGAGACAATAAATTATTATTATTTGAATACTAAATACTTTAACGTCCAGCACTAAGCGAATACTAGATACAGATACATTGAAAAGTATTCAAATAATACTTTAAAAAATAAGTATTCAAATACTTTAGAATTTATTCGAATACCAAAAGTTACAGCCCTTTGAATTTTCTTTCGAAATTGGTTTCTAGTCTATAACTTTTGATTGGGAAAGGAAGCCTTTTCTTGAGGCCCGAAGAAAAAATTGTCTCAGATCGTCCCGGATAAAATTTTTTCTTATAGAACGTGGCCAGTAGAATCCACAATTTCAAACAGTTCCAAGATTGGGCTACTAGTTCAAAAGTTACAGCCCTTTGAATTTTTTTCGAAATTGGTCTATAACTTTTGATTGAGAAGTCTGATCGAAAAAGTACGAATTGTTTCGGATTCTACGCACCAAAATTAGTAAGAAAAGTGTTTTCCCGAGAAATTTTGGTGCAGTCGATTTTTTGGTAAAAAAGGAAGGTTGTACCTGCCTTTTTTTGACGACCGAAAAGAAAATTGTCTCAGATCGACCCGGAAAAAAAATTGTCTTATAGAATGTGACCTGTAAAATCCATAATTTCAAACAGTTCCAAGATTGGGCTACTAGTTCAAAAGTTACAGCCCTTTAATTTTCTTTCAAAATTGGTTTCTAGTCTATAACTTTTGATTGAGAAGTCTGATCGAAATATTACGAATTGTTTCGGATTCTACGTACCAAAATTAGTAAGAAAAAGTGTTTTCCCGAGAAATTTTTGTGCAGTAGATTTTTGGTAAAAAAGGAAGGTTTATACACTGCCTTTTTTTGCCCCAAAAAAAATTGTCTCAGATCGTCCCGGAAAAAAATCTTTCTTATAGAACGTGGCCTGAAGAATCCATAATTTCAAACAGTTCCAAGATTGGGCTACTATTTCAAAAGTTACAGCCCGCTGAATTTTCTTTCGAAATTGGTTTCTAATCTATAACTTTTGATTGAGAAGTCTGATCGAAAAATTACGAATTGTTTCGGATTCTACGTACCAAAATTAGTAAGAAAAAGTGTTTTCCCGAGAAATTTTGGTGCAGTCGATTTTTTGGTAAAAAAGGAAGGTTATACACTGTCTCTTTCTTTGCCCCGAAAAAAAATTGTCTCAGATATCGTCCCGGAAAAAAATTTTTCTTGTAGAACGTGGCCTGAAGAATCCATAATTTCAAACAGTTCCAAGATTGGGCTACTAGTTCAAAAGTTACAGCCCTTATTATTATAAGATTAACACAGTAATTGTTTTTTACTTTCCTCACTTGACAGGAAAATCACAGGTCTCATTAGTTTTGGATTCTACAGGTCAAAATCTATATGAAAAAGTTATTTTCCCAGTTGATTTCATACCAGTGGTTTTTCGACTAAATTTAGTGAGGCAAGTTACTGTACTAGTTATTTATTAATGAAAGCATACATTTTATTTTATTATTCTTACAAGCTTAAACACCTAACACAATAAGAACAATAAATCCATTCACAACAAATCACTACTAATCAAAAGCATCTCGTTGCTAATCTGCTACCATTAGATTTTCAATTGTTACGAATTCCTAGAGCCTGCTCAAGTTCGGCTCGTTTCTGCTGCACCTTAGTATAAAAATATCGACATACTGCCTCTTGAGCCCAGGGCTGGTAGAAGAAATCAGAACGCCGTTCCTCTTCGGGATTACCAACCACATCAGTCATGCACTAAAATATCATCAGTAAAAATGCCATTACAAAACGACTAAAAATGTACCTTCAAATCTCTCATTTGTGAAATAATCCATTTATGTATAAACTGTTGGGGATCCTTTGCGAAACTCAAGAAAAATTCACGGTTAGTCTTCAATTGATTAATGGTGTCGACAGTTTCGTGTATTTTCGAATCAAGACCTTGAATTTCTTGCTGGCTGGCTGTGCTTAGTAGAAAGTTGTTCATCTGGGTTTTCAAAGTGTCGTCCACCTAAAAATGGTTAGTACAGTGTTGCTGTCTGATATGACACCCCCTTGTTAGAAACTGAGTTGAAATGTATAAATAGTAAGAGGTGACATGCAATAACATTGTATATACAAGGTATATGGTATAAGGTGGTCAATTTACGTTTATAGTTCGAGAAGGCATAAAAATAAAAGCAATCAAATACGATGTAAAATAGCAGATCCATCCAGTTTCAAGTTTGCTACTTAATAAAACACCTACTGGAGAAAGAGCTGAACAAAATGAACAATGTTAGGTAGTTGGTATTCATACTTAATGTTAACATTAATTTAACATGAGTAATCTTTGTCAATATCAATATTTTGATGCACTCATAGTAAATTATCATTATCACATACATGTGATGATAAAAAAATTTCCATACAAATTAGGCTGTGTAAACCTGCATGTAACCAACGCACAATGCATCTCTGGTAGTATTTATGTGCCCACATTCAAAACATTCAGCCAGTACATACAATTTTACAAGAACCAAATGTGTTCTAGATTTACAATGTCTTAAAATTGATTACCTCAACGTCAATATCATAGCAAGCAGTTTGCTTGCTTTCAGAACCCCCCTCCACTGAAATCACATGATTGATTACAATCGGATCGGGTGGGTGAAGCAGAGGATTCAATCTCTGCGGAATTTCGGCAAACTTCATTCTCTGACAGCCAAATATCTGCTCCAAGTATTTGTCACACACTATAAATTCGCGTTCGTGTGAATCTTGTAGCCTGAAATATACGTTAAAGTGGCTTCCATTAACAAAAGCATTCACCTATGAGTCTTAATGTATTGCCAAAGTGCAGAAATGATTACAGGACGAGTTTGAGTGTGTACACCTAGCAAGCGAGCAAGTCGTGGATCCAGTTTAAATTGTAAGGGTTGATAATCCAACAACAACAAGATTGTGCAGCGAACATTTTTATCACCAGGTCGTTTCACCTAGAAATCCAGTAGTCAAGTGCACTTAATATGAACACCACTCACCTGAAATCCATCAGTTTCCTGAGTTGTTAACGTACGATGCCACTCGACCAAATGGTTATCAGGACCATAAAGCTCCTTGTCAAGTTCTATCACAAGTGACTTAAAAAATGAGGAAAACTTTCGTTTGACTCTATTCGGATCAGTTTTTGAATCTTCCAAAAGTCTACCTTCAACACGTAACTCCCATGATGCTACAGATCTAGAACACTGCAAATAATTACACGCCCCCATTTAATCATAAAACATACCCTTCTTGTCCTGGACCTTCGGGACCATCCGCCACCGGTTCTTTACTAGGATAAAAGGTGTTAGAAATAAAAATTCTTAATTTACGTTTCTGTTTCATGGGTCTTTTCAAGGCCTCTTGAATATCGAGTCTTTTTCGCATTATAGTTGAATCTAACTTGCGTTCGAACGCAAGTAGATCCATGTAGGCTTGACTCTCTGGGACCAAATCGCGAACTTTTTGTGGTAAGATTTTATCTGCCAATTTCTTTTTCTTTTTATTGGTGCCATGAGTGTACTCTCTAAAACAGTGTCCATGTATTGCAAAAGTATGGAGATGTCTACTTACCCCTTCTGCTGCAGTGAACGAGTGTCAGTGGGGCGTTTTACTCCGGGTTGAGGAGGAATAGGCCCACCCCGCATTGGAGAATACGGCTGCTGTGGGGGACGTTGCATCATTGTACCGCCACTTGTGCCCATTGCCGGTGGGGGTGTGTAACCTGTCCGTTGTTGAACCTACAGGCCCAAATTAGAATAAAGTTTAGTAGGTAAATATCATACAGGATAAGATTGTGTTGGGTATTGTCGCATTCCTGGCTGCTGTGGTGGCGCATAGCGCTGTTGCGGGGGGCCTGGTGGGCCCTGATTCGGTACGGCACCGGGAAAACGTTGAGCCATTTAAACTAATTAAATCTAATCACAACACCAAAACGTATAAACAAATCTATGACAGAAATACTAAACCAAGAAGGTTAGTGACAAGCCGCAAAATTACCAACCTCGCAGCTGACAGCCAGTGTGACCAACCTAAAACAAAAAACTCAATCAGTTTGATGTACAGGGCATTCTGAAATAGATGTACTTTAACATTTATTTAAACGGCTTGTTATGAATAAACAAAAGTAAAAATGCTTTTCTTTTTGTTGATACTTGATATTTTAGAGTATGGTACTTTCAACCTGGGAGGTGAATTACTGAAGTTTTCATAGCCTGTTTCCCACGTGAATGGTACGATTTTTGTCAGCTTGCTGGTGACATTTATGAAACAGCTAATGGCAGTGCTGTTTTGATTGTCAAACGCCTTGTCACGGCCTGTGCGTTGTCACATAAACGCTACAAACAAATTGGAGCATGAAAAATCCTCCCCAATGCCAAGAAGAGAAACTAGGTATAGAACTGTCTCTCAACCTCTCCCAATTCGCAATATTTTCTCTGCCTAGATGCTACTTGAAAGGAACCTTGAAAGCAAGACTTGATACTTAGTAACCCACTGGGGATGCAAGAGGTGACCTCTGGTTTGATACTGGAGTGCGCCCGAAACTTCTTTGAAAATGGATCGAGGGGAAAAACACTGTAGAAATTTGATAACTTCTAGCATTTTGTAGAATTTTCTGAAATTTTTCTAAAATTGTTTAATTTATTTCAGAATTTTCTAGTTTTTTTCCAAACGCACATGCACGTATGTATAATTATTATTTTATATAATTTTTAGAATTTTTTGGAGTTTCTTGAATTAGGATGTTGGTGTACACAGAATTTGAAGTGGTTTACCTCTCAAAATGGATGAAATCTTTTCAGTGAGCCTTTTGAATGTAGCACGCACATGTCAATAAAGTGGAGGTAGTGATCTGTAAAATATCATTTATTAAAAATTAAAAATAATATATAATTTTTTTCATAATGTATCAGCACAAGGTATTTTAAAATAATACGTCATTTACATTAAAACTAACAACTATCAAATATGCTTGGCATTTTGTAAATTTTACAAAAAGATCATAGAATATCTTTGGATTTTCGTAGACTGCATGAAAAAAGCGTACATCGACTTTGATCATACAGCCCCAAACTAGGTGACAATTTTATAAATACATATTATATAAATATATAAAATAAGCACCATTTGATACTAAAAAAATATTTTGTCCAATTTTGACTGATTCAAAAACTCATTATGAAAAATATATAATGCTTTCAACATTGTAATTAGAACAATTGATACCTTTTTTAATGTTACTTTTTCAAAATTAGACAAAATGTTGTACATAACATGTTATAAAATGGCTGCTTTGTTTAGTTCAACCAATGAAAATTGCTTTGCTCGTTTCACTTATTAAACAAAATCGGTCATTTTATCACTGATTAGCTAATATCTGTCATGTTGATCCATACATCTAAATGTATTATTATGGATCGCTGTTCCTCTCTAAATAAATATTGAGCATAAATTTTAGAAAAATACTTTACTGTCACCTAGCATAATAGAATCACATAATTCTGGTTATTTCGATGTGTTTGTTAATCACTTAAGGAGTTACTGTGTCTGGTTGTTTTATCACTAATAGTAGAATTATGCCGCGTTTTACGACTACCTTCCTCGACATCTATACTAGGGTTAACAGTCTGCGAAAGAGCGTTCGTTTTCTTAAAATCTATTGTAACGTAACTTTTATTTGGCTTACTCGGACTATCTGGGGTTACTTGTAAACTTGAATGATCACTTTTTGAAGGTACCAAATCCAATTCTGCGTAATTCACCTCGCGGACCATAACGTAAGTGGAGGTCTCCGGTATGGTGCCGCCGGTGAATGACAAATCTAGATTCGGATTAAAAGAAGCACGCAAATCTTCCAAATCTGCAGAATTGATATTGGCGTAGCAATGTTTCGTTTCATCTAAATCGCTTTCCTTTGGTATCGTATCTAAACTATCTTGTACATCAGTCCCAATGGGTAAAATATTTGGCATTTCTTTGGTGACGCTTAAATTACTAGGTGGAATTACACTTAATTGAATTGCTTCGCTTGTATCAACGTTCATATACAAATGGCAACTACTATCGGCAAGAAAATTTGTATAGTTCTCACTTGGTATAACTGTATTACATGTCGTTACGCTACTTAAATTAATGTAAGGAGGTAAAGTTGCATTATCGTTATCGGTTAAAGTGTTAGTATTTGTATATGAATGCTCTGTGAAGGAGACTAGATTATTTTGCTTATTATTGTTATGCTCTAGCAGAAGATCGGGTGGAGGTGACGTAACGGGAGGTGTGACGGGACTAGCGGGCCCGTTACTAGATAGAGAGCCTGGTCTACTTAAACTAGGATGTGGTCTCATGGATACAGGGGCCATCGTCGGATTTAGATAACCCTCAGGCTGAGTTTGGGACGGTATTCGCCTATTTACAGGTGGACCTGTACTAACTAGCGGAATGGGAAATTCACTATTTACATTACTATTTACAACCGGATTTCCGAAATTCATATACATAGCTGCCGCTGGCGCCGTTCCTTCCTCGCTAATGTTGCGTGATTGAATGTTGTGTTGCAGCATGTTAAACAAATCTTCCGCTTTGCGACACCGAAACGCATAAATCCCGGGCCCGGTGGGGCAACGTCTACCGCACTCGAAGCTGAATATTTCCGAATCGAATCCGTATTTCCTCAAGCTTCGTAACGGCCAGACTGTCGCCGATTTACCTCGTTGATAGAGAATTAGTTCCGTTTCAGATAACTCTAACTGGCCGGGACTGACATAATGTCCAGCTTCGTCGACGTTCATGACTTCGAATATATTTGGATGAGTGTCATTAATGTCACGTTTACTGCTCACACAGCCCATTTTTTCACTGCAATGGAAGCAGCTTATAAATAAACCAAATGCCAAGGTTATTTCGCACTACTTACCAATTGTGAATATTAAAGGAAACAATTATTATGGACTCTTGATATTCGGTCCATACTTTTCCAGCTGGAGTTTGTCGGTTTATAATCACATTTTGGCATATTATATTGTTTAACAAAAAATGTAAATTAATACTTTAGAAAATTCAACAAAAGTTCCTCATAATTGGTTTGGTTACTTTAGTTACTTTGATGACAGCTGTCAATCGTAAATAAACCAGAATCAGGGTTACCACAATACAATTTAATATTTCGGTTTCTAAGAGATGTCAGCACTAACGCTTGCCAAACATAGATATATAAATACCTAGATACAGCCATCCTTAACAAACGTACCTCGGTTTTTAAAAAACATATCAAAGAAATTTGTACATCTCTCCATTACTTTCTAACCAAGATGAAACATGTTCTATCTCTTTTTATTGCATTAACCACTATGTCGTACGCGGATCGGACGCTTAAAACAAACTTAGCGCGTCCCATAAGTCATGTGACAGTTGACACTTTTCACGATCGCGCGAAATCAAATCTAACTAAAAATATTCGCCCTAAACATGATGGGCGGTTTTTTCACTAAATATTATGTAATTATTGCGTTATCAATTGAATACGAATAACATTAGTGCTTGCCATAATGATAGACGCGTCCATAATTGTTATTCCTGAAATAGTTTTATTACATAGAGCTACGCCATTCAAATTTGGGACATGTTTACCTTGTTTGGCATGATGTGCTGCAGTGAATTCATTGCTGGCTTGTAGAATATCAAAAATAACCGTAAGTAAGTAAAGTTTATGTTCAACAATTTAATTTTAATTGCATGGTTGTAGGCGTAATGGTTACGGAGATTAAGTTGCGACAGGAAGTGAATTCGTTTCCAATTATCATTTTGGCCTACCTATATGATGTTGATGCAGTGCGTTTGTATCATGATCACAAAGAAGGATCCGTGCAATATTCTTAGGAAAACGAGATTTATAGACTGTGTGTGCGTGCAATATCAAATTTTGGTCGCTACGCGTCTTGCCTACCTTTCGGCATATGTCCATTCGGTGGGGTTTCTTTTTGAAATTATAGTGCTAATTGTAGTAAGTAAGCTACACGTGTACATTTATTTAAAATAAATACAACACCTTAACAATGATATCCAATTGGTGATAATACTCATTTAGTGAACATTCATTACGTTTGTAAAAGCTCACAATCCGAATCATCGTCAGATGAAATTGACAAATTCGAATCATCACTGTCATTATTAACACTTATTATAAAGTTCAGCAACATCAACCAAATGTAACTTCTCTTTTAAATTAATCACTTTCCACATCTTCACACACTTTCTTCCAGTTATCAGCTGTAATTTTTTCAAATTCTTCATTTGCCAGCTTTCTAAGTAACATCTTCCATTTTAAATGCAACATTTCTTGCTGCTATGCGATTTAAATAAATAAAAAGGCGGTTTATTTATGTTGTAAAGTCTCAAATCTGATAATTTTTTGTGTGATTTGTGCTACCAATTTGATTGACAGTTATAATAAATAATGCGAATCTTGTCTTCCATGCTCAGGGTACCTCTATAAAGGATAGCGCTATACGTAATTAATGTGCTGAAAGTGATGGTAATAGATGGTACGTCCTTTTGAACTATGTTGGGGTATGGCTGTATCTATGTATTTATATATCTATGGATTTACAACATAGATATATAAATACATAGATACAGCCATACCCCAACATAGTTCAAAAGGACGTACCATCTATTACCATCACTTTCGGCACATTAATTACGTATAGCGCTATCTTTTATAGAGGTACCCTGAGCATGGAAGACAAGATTCGCATTATTTATTATAACTGTCAATCAAATTGTTAGCACAAATCACACAGAAAATTATCAGATTGGAGACTTTACAACATAAATAAACCGCCTTTTTATTTATTTAAATCGCATAGCAGCAAGAAATGTTACATTTAAAATGGAAGATGTTACTTAGAAAGCTGGCAAATGAAGAATTTGAAAGAATTACAGCTGACAACTGGAAGAAAGTGTGTGAACATGTGGAAAGTGATTAATTTAAAAGAGAAGTTATATTGGTTGATGTTTCTGAACTTTATAATAAGTGTTAATAATGACAGTGGTGATTCGGATTTGTCAATTTCATCTGATGATGATTCGGATTGTGAACTGAATTCACTAAATGAGTATTATCACCAATTGCATATCATTGTTAAGATGTTGTATTTATTTTAAATAAATGTACACGTGTAGCTTACTTACTACAATTAGCACTATAATTTCAAAAAGAAACCCCACCGATTGGACATATGCCGAAATGTAGGCAAGACGCGTAGCGACCAAAATTTGATATTGCACGCACACACAGTCTATAAATCTCGTTTTCCTAAGAATATTGCACGGATCCTTCTTTGTGATCATGATACAAACGCACTGCATCAGCATCATATAGGCCAAAATGATAATTGGAAACGAATTCACTTCCTGTCGCAACTTAATCTCCGTTACCATTACGCCTAAAACCATGCAATTAAAATTAAAATGTTGAACATAAACTTTACCCACTTACGGTTTTTTTTATATTCTGCAAGCCAAATTCACTGCAGCACCTCATACCAAACAAGGTAAACAGAGCCCCAAATTTAAATGGCGTAATTCCATCTCATAAAACTATTTCAGGAATAACAATTACGGACGCGTCTATCATTATGGCAAGCACTAGTGCCATTCGTATTCAATTGATAACGCAATAATTACATAATATTTAGTGAAAAAACCGCCCATCATGTTTAGGGCGAATATTTTTAGTTAGATTTGATTTCGCGCGATCGTGAAATGTGTCAACTGTCAGCACATGACTTATGGGACGCGCTAAGTTTGTTTTAAGCGTCCGATTCGCGTACGACATAGTGGTTAATGCAATAAAAAGAGATAGAACATGTTTCTTCTTGGTTAGAAAGTAATGGAGAGATGTACAAATTTCTTTGATATGTTTTTTTAAAAACCGAGGTACGTTTGTTAAGGATGGCTGTATCTAGGTATTTATATATCTATGTTGCCAAAATGCACCGTATATAAGGTGGACTCAAATTGAATAACAGCATTATATCATTGTGGGAATTGCCAAAATGCACCGTATATAAGGTGGACTCAAATTGAATAACAGCATTATATCATTGTGGGAAACATAATTATTGTTGTGGGGCTTGAATGGTTCAGTGATCAAGGGGGCGTGTAGCGCCAGGCTGGATCCGGTGTATGAGAGCCCCAAGTGAGAATCCAAACTAAAGACAACACCCTCGGATCTAGGTAGTTGAGTTACCTGAAGTGGCGACAACACACTTTGACCGGAAGGCGTGAGGTCATGGCTAACTCCGGCTGTGTCGTCGGGTCAGACCGCCGACTGGGTCAGCATTTGCAGGGCCAGTGGCAGCAGACTGATTAGCGGAAGGTAGTCCTCTAGAAGATATATTCTTGTGGTATTCCTGGCATCTGTATCGACGTCCCCTTGTTGGGCTCCGTGGAGAGCTGGGAGCGCGAAATTTCAAGCGTCTGACGTGGAAGAAACAAACCCAATAAATCAACAAACTGTGGGAGGCTGCACACCTAAAGGTAGTGCATGAAGACTGCCTTCTGCCGGTGTTGCTTCCACACAGCCCTGAAGGATCAGCCTCAACTCATAGTTTTCGGCATTGAGAAAAAGAACCAGGCTAACCTAACCGCCAGAGAGAAGGCTCGATTATGGGTTTTCCCCTCTAAAGTTGAGAGTTAGTAACCCTGCCGAACATGAACAAGTCAGTATAACTACCATAAGAACGCCAGCAGCTGATACAGGGGTAATTGCAAGAAGCTACGGAAGCATCACCGCTCAGGATGCCAAGGCAACCTGTGATCATTGCTTGCTCCATCGTCAGCAATTCACCCGGGCCGATTTCGACCCGGGAAGAGTTTGCGAACATTGAATCAGAATTCTAGCAACGCCGGATAAACAATAGACAGCTATTGTCCATATACATAAGTACGAAAGAGAATTATTCAATTAAACCTGCAACACTGTAGGACGGCTGCTGTCACCTTAGACAGACGGCTTACTGTAAAGCAGGACATTGCACTCATATTCAAGAACCCTGGGTTGTTAAATGTATAATATAGCATAGAACAACTTCAGACCTTATGCAGAGGCATCTCTAAAAAGCATTATGCGAAGTCACTCTGTAATTGGGCGCGAGCCTGTTGAGGGCCCAGAACAAGAGAGGGATAAAAGGCAAAGAAGAGCAAAACTATAACTGATTGGGAGGCCTATTTATAAGACTATATAAGAAAGATATTAGCAGCAATCAGAAAAAGTCATTGCAGCTCTATAGAATCCATTCCCTCTGCCTCCCGCTTAAATAAAATTCTAACGAAAGGTTCATATTACAAACCAACTAGCCTCAGACGATAGGATAAACTCTCAGAGACAGTTCTGACCGGTTATCATTTCAGCAATATGGCATTTATAATTATTTGGCAAATTAGCGAATTGCTTTAAAATTATCTACACTCATTGAATATTCTTCCTCGCCCACTCTTAGCAGTGGCTAAGGGCAGCGACCTTTAATTTTTGTATTCTTTAATTAGTCTAATTACACCTTATACTGGGTTTGACACATCATTTGCACATAATAAAATAGAATAACGATCGAGATAATGACACATACAAACTGTATAATTCTCACAAAAGTCGTATAAAAAATACCTAGGTACATGCGTACGCAATGGTGTAAAACTATCAAAATTGCAATCATACTTTAGAAACAATGGATGTAACGAGATGTTCCTATAAATAATTAACCAAAATGTCAATGATACACAATTTATAATTAGTAAAATTTCCTACGGAGTATACTTTCCGGCATATTCATTACCTATCTCTTCATTATCTATCTACATCTACAACCACTATGTACCGTGTATAATTGACAGAATTTTTCTATCGACTAAAAAACATCTACCTACTGAGTTTCTAGGCACTGCCCACTGACAAAACACTTCAGAAGTGTTTATTCGTCGACTAAGTTAAACCTGATCTTTGGTTAAAGTAACGCAACTGTTAATTAAAGTTTTCCTTACCCTTTGGGTTCATTTCAAGAATTTCTTTATTTTAAGGAGGTACAATACACAATGTATAGTTTTCGGTTCAGTTAAAAATA